CAAGAAACATTAAAACTTTTGTTTTCAACAGGGAAACTGCAAACTGACAGCAGTTTCAGATTACATCCTAAACCTGAATTGCTATGGTAGTTTTTCAAATTAAAATATCTTCTGTGGCCTCAACCACTCTCAAGTTGTCCATAGGAAAGAAATAAAGGAGGCAGGGCAACACTTAAGCTGAGCCATAATTGGAAGTATGTGAAAAATGAAGTGTCAGTTCGGTCAATAAAGGGCAAAGGTCAAGGGGAACTGCAGCCCAAACTCTGTGCGAAATGTGCTCATTAAGACATCCAATCAGAGAGCTCCTTCCCACCTATCCCATTAGTCATCAGACATCTGACTGTTTCAAATGCCTGGGTCTGTGCTGTTATTACTTTTCTTCTTCATGTAAAAAGGCGAGCTGGTATATAAATCGTTGCTCAGTCATCTGGAACATAATGTGGCCCTTTTTTCCCCCTTCATCCAGCTCTGCCTGCTGGCTTCACAGGCTTGAAACAACTGCCTTGAGATTCCCTTCAATAATAAATGGAATTGCCTTTTGCCTATAGGTTGCCTGAACTCATACAAAAGCCAGAAAAACATTGCGACTATTGATACATTTTTATAAAGAAATATCATTGCTTTTCACTCACTGCTTTAAAGAGCAACAATTATTTTGAGGTTAAAAAACCATGTTGAACCTGGTCTCAGGCCTGAACAAAAAAAAGGAGGCATTGATACATTTTTAGTCACATTGGATAGCTAAATACAGACATTAAAAAGCTCATGCTGGATAGAAGCTGCCTGCACAAGGTCTTTATTGAGGAATCTCCTTCAAAAAATAAAAAAACCCAAAAAGTTCAAACCAAAAATATGATTCTTCTTAAATTAGAGCACAGAATCAAAGATAATCAGGGATGCTGCTGCTATAGGTTTCTCTTTGCAGAACTATGCCTAAAGACAGGCTTTGGGTTGTTTTGGTTTTGGTTTCTTTTTAAGGCAGAGTTTTTGTAAGCTATTTTTCTGCAACGCAAATGGATTGCTTAGCATCCATATTACATTAAACAAAATCTAGGCAACAATTGCTAGCATTTGAAAATAGAAGACAAAAGGCATTACACAGTGATGGGAGCAGAGATGCCTAAACTTTTCTCAGAAGATCATTATGCATTCCCATATGATAAGTATTCCATAGTACAACTGTCACAATACCGAGCCATTATAAGAGGCTGTGTCAAAATGCTATGTAATAACCTGCCCTGCTGTTCCATGGCATGAAACTTCATAACAGCTCCCTAGCAGTTAAATAAGGATTTGCACAATAGATCATAACAGTCAGGAGTCATTACTGTCTACCAGGTAAATACATTCACATTGAAAAGCAGACATTAAAATGTTTAAATGAAAGAGCAGCACACCACACTTTTGGAGGAGACAGTTTGGTATATTTTGCAAATAGATAACTAGATAACTTATACAAGGTGCCTGTTACAATGATTAAAGTAGCAATGATGTACCATGTAAATAAAAAATCCTTTTTTTTTTAAATCAAAAGTGAAAAAATACATAATAGAGCATAATGACTCCAAGCAGACTAGATATGCCTGTGCATAGATAGGAACCTTTTAAGTTAGGGTCAAGTCTGTCAAGCCCAAGTACCCTTCAAAAAAAACAATTATTTTGAGGTTAGAAAACCATGTTGAACCTGGTCTCAGGCCTGAACAAAAATGGAAATATGAATACACTTTTAGTAGCACACACAATTATGTATCCCTATTAAACCTGTGCCAAACACACATGCCTAAGCATATGGGTGTCAGGTGACTCACTTCCAGATACAAGAGGAAAGTTTCTGTCAATGCATTCATAGTACCCTGCCTTGAGAGTTCGTCTGTTATATGTAATTTAGCCATTTGGAAAAGTGTTTGGGACCGCATGAACAATTTTTTGTTTAAAGCCAAAACAAAAAACCCAACCCTGACATTAAAAAAAACCTCATGCCATAATGTTTACACTAGTCACAACCCAGCCTGTTGCATCAAGATTTTGCAGCTGATACGGAACACTAAAGCAAATGAGAACAAGGATTATGCTTCATACTGTATGTGCTCTAATATTAAGAGGGCACAGGCAGAGAAACTAAGTAAAGGAGAATCAGGGAGGGACAGGTTTTAATTAGTTTGTGCTTTACAGTAAAAACCATATTGGATATTTTTTAAATTGCATATTATATTGTTGAAAGATGGCCCTAATGAGAAAAAAAATATATACATATATATGTAAATCTATAAATGCATCTAAGAGACCCAATACTAGTTATACAGTCCAAATCCTCTATTCCATAAGGGCATGGGTAGGAGATAGAATCCTTCCCTCTCTGTCCTTTGGTGTGCCATATCATAGGTGCAGCTTCAATATTGCAGTAGCTCCCTATCTTGCTATTACACAGAGGACAGCCAATGAAATGGTACACATCCCGGGTCAGCACACTGCTGCCCAAATGTAAATGTTCAAAAACCTTAAGTTTGGATCCACCCCCACTAAAATCATGAGACTGACTTACAAATCACGAGATTTAAACAGAATAAATCATGTGGGTATTTGTCTTCAGGTGTTTGAATCTTTTGCTCTGCAGCTTTTCTCTCCCCTCAGCCATGAAGGCCAGGAAGTTACTTCTATCTCTCTCTCATAAAATCTGGGATTTTCTCATAATCACATGCCTCTAAGAGCTGGAGCTTTAAAGCAAAAACACACAGCATAGCTTAAGAGTTAGTAAAGCGGCGCCTCACTCTTCTTTCCTGTCCTGAGTTTCCTCAAAAAATACATCATGTAGGCACAAGAGCTTCCATTGTAGAATTCAAGTTCACTGCTGTACACAGTCCCTGAATCCTTGTTCTCACAACAGTCCTGGATCTGCTCCAGTGTACTCAAGAGTCTCTAGGAATGATTCAGCATAACTGAATTGGAGTTTCACCATTCGCTTCAACAAATGCAGATCAAGTCCAATATGGAGGCCAGACAAAGCCCTTTGTGATTACTAGGTACGTGAAGTAGAGCTGCCTAGCCCAAATAGTTGCTGTGAATACTTGGCTCCCTCTTTCCAGAAGTGTAATGCAATGATCCCTCTTGACAAAAAAAGTATTCCTTTTACAAAGATCTATTGCATTGTGAGTTCCAGTTTCACTAAAGTTCATTATAAACTCTGGGTAAAATTTTCAAAAGTGCCGAAGTGACTGTGGAGTCCTAGTCCTATCAAAATACAATGGGACTTTTAAATGCAGGCACTTTTGAAAATTGTTACTTTCTCTTTGTATAACATTCACCTTGCCTTGAATGACAGGCAAATCACTGAGCCATGAGGAATAATCCAGCCAGGGAGATGTTTGTCTTGGTCAGCTGACTTGATTAAATATCAGAAATGACTGACACATGTTACAAACTAATAATATGTTACATTTTGAAAAACCAAACCTATTTTTAGTAGAGGTTTTCAAAAGCATCTTGGGGACTTAAGAGCTCATGTCTCACTGAAAACTGACAGAACTTGGACCCCTAAATCACTTGGGCACTTTTGCAAATCTTCTCAGGACTGTTCCACACATAATACACCCTTTTAACAAACAAGTATTTCAGTCTTGGCTAAGAAGCCTCCAGTAACAAGTTTCAGTTCAAAGAATATTTTTCAGTGTCTCAGACAGCCCTAAAAAAAACCCCTATGAATTTAAAATTTACGCTGGAAAATAGGGAGCTATAATGAACATGCTGACACCACCTTAACTATAGCATTGCGACCAGCGACACTATAATATACATGTATACATACTTGAAAGAAAAAAGGCCCCTTGAATTTACGTTGCATATCATTTTCCAGTAAAAGTCAGAGGTCAGAAGGTTACCAGTTTCTGCCTCAGCTCAGCTCTGCAACAGTTTACTATTCCAGGCCCCATTTTACTAGGCTATACTTGTGATGAAGTCAGCAACTTTTCCTTAAACAATAAAGTGTCTCAAATACTTAAAATGCTATAAAGAGATGTTATTCACAATATAAGCTACATCAATGTGTATAAAAAAATTAAAATATACTGTTTTAGTTTAAAACCGAATCCTGTGAAATATAGGCTTTGCAATTCTAATCAGTACTGTTCAACATTTTTTGGGAACACAATTCCTTTGTTGTCTAACAGCACTCGAATGAAACATGATCATAAAACCAGATTTAAAAGTATATACCTATTGTGAGTTCAGAGTCAACTTCAATAAAGCACTCCCTTTTATATTCAGATTAAGGTTCCTTTTCAATTTTTAATTGCATTAAATTAACACAAAATCCACTGCAGTTGGTCTGATCAGAAAAAAGTAGAAAGCATTCAAACAATTTCTCTTTAAAACTCTTCAGTTTTGTTTTAAAACTTTGAGTTTAGAAGAAAGTGTTAATAATTTGTAGGTTGTACTACTTCAAATATGTATAATGCAACTAGTCTCATACTATTTCTGTTAAGTCAATTACTGAATTTGGCTTGGCTCTCAAACAAAACATTTCTGCATTTAAAAAAAAACAACCAGCATAGAGGGGTAAAAAGTGCTGGTTAGGATTTCATGCAATGTGCCAGCTAACTTTTTTTTTTTTTTTATATTTCATGCAATGTGTACCAGAGTTTCAATAGCATCTTTAAAATATTAACATTCAATTCTGCAATCTTAATTATATTTGCTTTTGAAGATTTCTTTTTTTAAACTCATTTTGATGTAAAAAAATCTAGTTGCTTATTTTTATTAAACACACTGCAAATTTGGTACATATGTTGTTGTAACGTGTGCCTGTTGGCAGGATTTAAGAAATAAACATGCCAACTTCTTTTACTAGAAGATGAAAAATGTGTCAAAAAGGGGATAGACAATGCTGGGCACCAAGCCCTAGTGCCTCAACACTTCCTTCCTTTCAGAAGGAAAAATGACCAATCTTTACTGAGTATACAGTGATCAGTACCCTAAAGTAAAAGATAGAAAGGTTACTTTCCTACCTTGTTCACTGCTGTTGTCCCCACTGTGTGATGTATGCCCCCCACTGGAGGGCCCTGGTGTTCCTCCAGAACGTGTTGATGCTGTGTCATCATGATCTCTGTTCCAGGAAGG